CAAAATATTGACACTTTGGGCCCAATTTGGACCTTGTCACGTAAGGGGGGGACTCACTTCTGGGAGATACTGTGTGTGTGTGTGTGTATATACAGTTATTTTCATACTCTTGGCTCTGTATGCCACCAGAAGAAATTTAAGATGAAACAATCCAAATGAATTTGAAGTGCAGACATTCAGCTTTATTTCAAGGGGTTGAACATAAATATCAAGTACAAATTTTAGGAACGGCAACCATTTTTATACGCAGTCCCTCCATTTTCAGGGGCTCAAATTTAATTGGACAAATTAATATAATCATAAATAAAATGTTGATTTGTAATATTTTGTTGAGAATCCTTTACTGGCAATGACTGCCTGAAGTCTGGAACCCATGGACATGACCTTTAAAGACTGGGTTTCCTCCTTTCTGATGCTTTGCCTGAAGTCTAGAACCCATGGACATGACCAAAGACTGGGTTTCCTCCTTTCTGATGCTTTGGCAGGCTCTACCTGCAGCTGTCTTCAGTTGTTTTTTGTTTTTTGGGTCTTTCTGCCTTTAGTTTTCCCTTCAGCAAGTGAAATGCATGCTCAATTAGGTTGAGATCAGGTGATTGACTCGGTCATTGCAGAATATTCCACTTCTTTTCCTTCTAAAGCTCATGGCTTTTTGCAGTGTGTTTTGGATCATTGTCCATCTGTACTGTAAAGTGCCGTCCAATCACCTTTGCTGCATTTGGCTGAATCTGGGCTGACAGTATATCTGTAAACACGGCAGAATTCATCCGGCTGTTTCTGTCTTCTGTCACATCATCAATAAACACCAATGATCCAGTGCCACTGGAAGCCATGCATGCCCGTGCCATCACAGTGCCTCCACCCATGCCATCGCCCTGCCTCCGCCCATGCCATCACACACCGCCTGCGCCCATGCCATCACACTGCCTCCGCCATGTTTTACAGATGACGTTGTGTGCTTTGGATCATGAGCTGTTCCAAGCCTTCTCCACACCTTTATCTTCCTGTCATTCTGGTACAGATTAATTTTAGTTTCTTCCGTCCATAGAATGCTTTTCCAGAACTGGTCCGGCTTTTTTTGGGTGTTTTTTGGCAAAGTCTAATCTGGCTTTTCTATTCTTCAGGCTTATGAATGGTTTTCACCTTGTGGTGAACCCTCTGTATTTGCACCTTGTGGGGAACCCTCTGTATTTGCACCTTGTGGTGAACCCTCTGTATTTGCACCTTGTGGTGAACCCTCTGTATTTGCACCTTGTGGTGACCCCCTCTGTATTTGCACCTTGTGGTGACCCCCTCTGTATTTGCACCTTGTGGTGACCCCTCTGTATTTGCACCTTGTGGTGAACCCTCTGTATTTGCACCTTGTGGTGAACTCTCTGTATTTGCACCTTGTGGTGACCCCTCTGTATTTTTGCACCTTGTGGTGAACCCTCTGTATTTGCTGTCGTGAAGTCTTCTCTTGATTGCAGACTTTGACAATGATACGCCCTCCTCCTGGAGAGTGTCCTTCACTTGTCTGGATGTTGTGAATGGGTTTTTCTTTACCATAGAGAGGATCCTGTGATCACCCACCACTGTTGTCTTCCATGGACCTCCATGCCTTGTTATGTTGCTCACCAGTGCATTCTTCATTCCCCAGAATGGACCAAACAGTTGATTTGGTCACTCCTAATCTTGCTGCTATCTCTCTGATGGATTTTGTTTCATTTTTGAAGCCTTACAATGGCCGGTGTCACTTGCATGGACAGCCCCTTTGTACACATGATGTAGGTTCACAGCAATAGATTCCAAATGCAGATACTGCACTTAGAATCAACTCCAGACCGTTTACCTGCTCAATTGATGAAGAAATAACCAAGGAGTAGCCCACACCTGGCCAGGAAACAGCTTTTGATTCAATTGTCCAATTACTTTTGGTCCCTTGAAGTCCCCTCTTAAGAGGTGTAATTCCTAAATCCTTCCTCCAATGTGGATTTAAATATTAAACCGGAGAGTGCGCCTTTCAGCCCATATCCATTATAGAACTATAGCTTGAATATTTTTTGGTAAATACCTGAAAATGGACCTAACTGTACGTGTGTGTATGTATGTATTTATATATATATGTGTGTGTATGTATGTGTGTGTATGTATGTATATATATATGTATGTGTGTGTATGTATGTTTATGTATGTATGTTTTTATATTTTATGTGTATGTATATACAGTGGGGATCGAAAGTTTGGGCACCCCAGCTAAAAATGTGTATTAATGTGCATAAAGAAGCCAAGGAAAGATGGAAAAATCTCCAAAAACCATCAAATTACAGATTAGACATTCTTATAATATGTCAACAAAAGTTTTTTTTTATTTCCATTTTTTTTACACTTTCAAAATAACAGAAAACAAAAAAATGGCGTCTTTTTTTTTTTTTTTTTTTTGCAGAGTTAATATCTTGTACTTTTTTTTTTGGCAAGTTTTCACAGCTTGTTTTTTTTTTTTTTGTAGCCAGCCAAGAGTCTTTCAATTCTTTTTTTTGAGGTATCTTTGCCCATTCTTCCTTACAAAAGTCTTCCAGTTCTTTGAGATTTCTGGGCTGTCTGTCACGCACGGCTCTTTTAAGGCCTATCCATAGATTTTCAATGATGTTGAGGTCAGGAGATTGTGAAGGCCATGGCAAAACCTTCAGTTTACGCCTCTTGATGTAATCCCCCGTGGATTTCCAGGTGTGTTTAGGATCATTATCCATTTGTAGAAGCCATCCTCTCTTTAACTTCAGCTTTTTCAGAGATGGCATCAAGTTACCATCCAAAATTTGCTGTAATTTTATTGAATCCATTTTTCCTTCTACTCGTGAGATGTTCCCTGTGCCACTGGCTGCAACACAACCCCAAAGCATGATTGATCCAACCCCATGCTTCACAGTTGGACAGAGGTTCTTTTCATTAAATTCTGTGCCCCTTCTTCTCCAAACGTACCTTTGCTCATTCCGGCCAAAAAGTTCCATTTTAACCTTATCGGTCCACAGAACTGGTTTCCAAAATGCATTTTTTTTGTCTATATGTTCATTTGCAAAGTTCAAACAATGATTTTTTGTGGTGAGGACGTAGAAGAGGTTTTCTTCTGATGATTTTCTTCCATGAAGACCATATTTGTACAAGTATCTCTTTATAGTGGAATAGTGACCACAACTCCAGTGTCTGCCAGATCTTTCTGGAGGGATCGTGCAGTCAAACGTGGGTTTTTGAATTGTTTTTCTCACAATCCTGCGAGCTGTTTGTCTGATATTTTTTTTGGTCTTCCAGATCTTGCTTTAACTTCCACTGTTCCTGATGACTGCCATTTCTTAATTACATTCCGAACAGAGGATATTGACATCTGAAAATGCTTTGCTATTTCTTATAGCCTTCTTTTTTTTGTGAGCCTCACTATTTTCAGTTTTTTTTTTTTTCTAGACAACTGCTTTTTTTGGTGCTGATTGTTGGGGCAAGGTCAGATGAGTCTGGGCATTTAAAACCTTTGAGATTGACATCACCTGGTCTTCCCAGACGATGATTGAGAACAATCCGTGACACTGGCAGGTCTCAGCTTGGCAAAGGGGGCAGTGCATGCTATAAATTCTGCAGGGGGCCCAAACTTTTTTTTTTTTTTTTTTTTTGTTTTCTTTTATTTTGAAAGTTGTAAATGATGGAAATAAAATCTAACTTTTGTTTTTTTTATTATTTTTGTCTAATCTGTAATTTGATTTTTTTTGGAGATTTTTCCATCTTTTTGGCTTCTTTATGCACATTAATTTTTTTTTTTTATCTGGGGTGCCCAAACTTTCGATTTTTGTATATGTATGTATTGTGTGTGTTTTTTATTTTTATATATGTATGTTTTTGTGTATTTATTTTTTATTTGTATGTAATTTTGTGTTTGTATTTATTTTTATTTGTGTGTGTGTTTTTTTTTATGTATGTATTGTGTGTATTTGTTTATATATGTATGTTTGTTTGTTTTTTGTGTTTATATATGTATGTATTTTGTATGTTATTATGTATGTGTGTGTATGTATATATATGTATGTATGTGTATGTTTTATATATGTATGTATGTGTATGTATATATATGTATGTATGTGTATGTATATATATGTATGTTTGTGTGTGTATGTATATATATATGTATGTATGTGTATGTATATATATGTATATGTGTGTGTGTGTGTGTATATATGTATGTATGTGTGTGTATGTGTTTATATATGTATGTATGTGTATGTATATGTATGTATGTGTGTGTATGTATATATATATGTATGTATGTGTGTGTGTGTATGTATGTGTGTGTGTATGTATATATATGTATGTATGTGTGTGTATGTGTGTATATATAGAGAGAGAGAGAAAATCAAATACTGCCCACAGATACAAAGTATCCAATATGTCTACACATGAAACAAATTAATTCCTTATAGATTCCAACCAAATCAACTCTAAGAAACATATTAACCCATCAAAGGAAAAATAATAAAGGATTCATATTTATTTTGGGTTTTTTTTTTTTTTTTATAGTGCTGATTTTTTTTTCTCCCTTTTTATGTTCTGGAAGAGGTTGGCAGTTTATACCCTGATTGGGTGATGTCCAAAAAATTGTTCAACTAGAAATTCTCAGTGATGAACCCTTTTTTCCTCTCAAATTGGCGTTTTGCTACTTTAGTGTCTATTTAGAAGAGCATGTTGGGTGGTCTGATTTCACCGCTAATCAGATACAAGTTAAATGCCATCACCGCTCTCCAGATATAAGATATATTATACAGAGTGACATCACTGCTCTCTAGATATGATACATTCTATTGCCAAAAGTATTGGCTTGCCCTCCCAATCATGTGATTCAGGTGCTCCAATCCCCTCCCAATCATGTGATTCAGGTGTTCCAATCCCCTCCCAATCATGTGATTCAGGTGCTCCAATCCCCTCCCAATCATGTGATTCAGGTGTTCCAATCCCCTCCATGGACACAGGTGTATACAATCAAGCCCCTAGGCATGCAGACTGCTTCTACAAACATTGGTGAAAGAATGGGTCGCTCTCAGGAGCTCAGTGACTCCAAGCGTGGTCCCGTGATAGGTGGCCACCTGGGCAATAAGTCCATCCGTGACATTTCCTGGCTACTAAATATTCCACGCTCAACTGTTAGAGTCAATAGAGTCAATAGCTAAAGACCTCCAAACTTGGTGTGGCCTTCAGACGAGCCCAACAACAGTGCGTAGAGAGCTTCATGGAATGGGTTTCCATGGCCAAGCAGCTGCATCCAAGCCTTCCATCACCAAGATGCCATGGTGTAAAGCACGCCGCCACTGGACTCTAGAGCAGGGGAGATGTGTTCTCTGGAGTGACCAATCACGCTCCTCTGTTTAGCAATCCTATGGACGTGTCTGGGTTTGGCGGTTGCCAGGAGAACGGTACTTGCCTGACTGCATTGTGCCAAGTGTAAAGTTTGGTGGAGAGGGGATGATGGTGTGGGGTTGTTTCTCAGGGGTTGGGCTTGGCCCCCTAGTTCCAGGGAAGGGATGGCATTTTTGGACAATTTCATGCTCCCAACTTTGAGGGAGGAGTTTGGGGATGGCCCCTTCCTGTTCCAACATGACTGCGCACCAGTGCACAAAGCAAGGTCCATAAAGACATGGAGGAGCCAGTTTGGGGTGGAGGAACTTGACTGTCCTGCACAGAGTCCTGACCTCAACCCCATAGAACACCTTTGGGATGAATTAGAGCGGAGACATGTTCTCTGGAGTGACCAATCAGGCTTCTCTGTCTAGAAATCCGATGAACGTGTCTGTGTTTGGTGGCCAGGAGAACGGTACTTGTACGATGTGTGTGTATGTATATATGTATATGTATGTGTATGTAACTATGTGTGTATGTATGTATGTATGTGTGTGTGTGTGTGTGTGTGTGTGTATATATGTGTGTATATATATATATATATATATATATATATATATATATATATTTTTTTTTTTTTTTTTTTTTTTTAATGTATGTGTATGTAGATATGTATGTAGGTATATATATATATATATATATACACACACACACACATTTGGGTACACTTGCAGAAATACATTGATTGTAAGACGGATCCTCCTCCAGTGGTGTGTATATCCCGGCGGTCGTACAGATTCGCGGTTATCGCCGCTCTTGGCACGCACTGCGGTTTATAATGTAATGGAAGCTGATTAGATAAGATTTCTGCATCTGGACTGGATGATGGCCCGTTCCACCCAGCACTGCCAGCAATGGCCCTGGACGCCGGCGGAGGGCTGGTGCCTTCTTTGTAGGAGAGGAGTAGCAGCGGCTTGTGTGATTGGCACACCCGTTCTGTGCCAGGAGCTCCTCCAATCCAACCAATCCCACCCGGATCTCCCAGAAACAAGGATCCTGAGGGGTTAGATACATAAGAGGAAATAATCCCGACACAATATTCACCATATAATGTGCAGCAACGTTCTTTGGTCATGGGAATACCTAGCCATTGCACACAATGCAGCTTGGAAGCCAAACAATTGAGAGCACAGGACATATCTCTGTAGTGACCAGCAATCCTTTTTGCCCAATATTTACATTTTTTTTTTTTTTTTTTTTTAAATTCATCATTGAACTTTAAAAATCAGTCAATCTGGGTCTCGGTAACACGCAGTTTTTAGTTCTGGACTCCAGGAAATGTGTGCAGCTCAGTATTATTATTACTATTATACAGGATTTATGGTGCCAACAGTTTGCTCAGCGCTTTACAATATAAAGGGAGACAATACAGCACCAATACAGTTCAATACAAGAGGGTTAGGAGGGCCCTGGTCCTCGGAGCTTACAATCTAAGAGGGAGGGGCTAGTGGTGCAATAGGTAATAACTGTGGGGGATGGACTGGTAGGAGGAGTAGAAGATTCCATTATTAGCTGAGGGCAGGATAGGCTTCCCTGAAGAGATCGGTTTTCAGACATCGCCTAAAAGTGGGTAGAGTAGGCGATAGTCTGATAAATTGGGGGTAGAGAGTTCCAGAGGATGGGGGACGCTCTGGAGAAGTCCTGGAGACGAGCATGGGAGGAGGAGACAAGGGAGCTAGAGAGCAGGAGGTCGTGGGAGGAGCGGAGAGGACGGTTTGGGTGATATTCAATAAGAGATGATTACATTCAAGCAGCGCAATGCAGGCCATGGACGGGTCGAATTCTTTTCTTTAGAAATTGGAACTTTTGTGCATTTTGTACTCCGATGGCGCCACCATTGATTTCGCAATTCGACAGACCGAGCCTTCCATTTCACATGTTGCTGCAGAAAAGAATTTTTGTGGCCAAGAATTTTCCTTTCTTTTCAGGTTGCAGTTCACTTGTTTCTTTTTCGATTACATTTCTCCCACGATTCTTCCAAAGATGATTAGAAATTTGTTCGGTTTTCAAAAAAAATTTTCAGCATGGCCGATCACTGACAATGTGATGAGCGCACGAAAATCGGATGTTTCTGTGGCCCACTAATGCGGCGAAATTCGAACAAACAATTTTGGAATTCGACCCGTGTATGGCCAGCTTCAGTATTTGAATTTGACTTTGTGTCAGCCCCTTCAGCTCCTGTACAGCAGAGCTCAGACTGGAAGGGGGAGAAGCAGCGCAAGTAGCCAATTAGTTTTTGCTTTGACTGGAAACATGCTCATAGGAGGAGAGAGCAGAGCAACAGAGAAGAGCTCATCAGTCTGCTTGCTTCTCCTTCCAATGTCCAATCACAGGCTTAGGGTGGATCCATGGATTGAGTGATTCTGGCTGCCGTATGACTCCTAAATTTGAGGACATCTTGTGACACCAAAGAAATACGGTGGGGGACAGCTCCAAATAAAAGTTGAGTAAGCTCATTTTTTGGTGACTTTTTTTTTTTTTTTTTTTTATAGTATGCTTTTCGACTCTTGGGAGGAGTTATGCAAATATCAAAACGCCTTGCTGGGTGAGTGTCAGTCTGGAGGAGTGGGCGTTACTAGGCAGACTGTATTTGCATAGGTAACGCCCACGTGATGCAATGAATGAAAGGAGCGGGGCCAGGGACAGTTGGGTTGGGGAGGAAAGTGCTAGATGATACTAGGCGTCCTCCTCAGAAAGGAAGCGGAGCTCTATCTGACTTGCTGCAGCTTCTAATGCACATTGTGAGAAGCTCCCAGTGTGCAGTGACATCAGAGTGAGCCATTTCAGTTAAGGAGAGGAGCCGATACACCTGTGCAAGACTGAAGGGGAGGAGCCAGTACACCTGTGCAAGACTGAAGGGGAGGAGCCAGTACACCTGTGCAAGACTGAGGGGAGGAGCCTGTACACCTGTGCAAGACTGAAGGGGAGGAGCCTGTACACATGTGCAAGACTGAAGGGGAGGAGCCTGTACACCTGTGCAAGACTGAAGGGGAGGAGCCGGTACACCTGTGCAAGACTGAAGGGGAGGAGCCGGTACACCTGTGCAAGACTGAAGGGGAGGAGTTGGTACACCTGTGCAAGACTGAAGGGGAGGAGTTGGTACACCTGTGCAAGACTGAAGGGGAGGAGCCGGTACACCTGTGCAAGACTGAAGGGGAGGAGCCAGTACACCTGTGCAAGACTGAAGGGGAGGAGCCGGTACACCTGTGCAAGACTGAAGGGGAGGAGCCGGTACACCTGTGCAAGACTGAAATGGAGGAGCTGATACACCTGTGCAAGACTGAAATGGAGGAGCCAGTAGACTTTGTGCAAGACTGAAGGGGAGGAGCCGGTACACCTGTGCAAGACTGAAGGGGAGGAGCCAGTACACCTGTGCAAGACTGAAGGGGAGGAGCCGGTACACCTGTGCAAGACTGAAGGGGAGGAGCCGGTACACCTGTGCAAGACTGAAGGGGAGGAGCCAGTAGACTTTGTGCAAGACTGAAGGGGAGGAGCCGGTACACCTGTGCAAGACTGAAGGGGAGGAGCCGGTACACCTGTGCAAGACTGAAGGGGAGGAGCCGGTACACCTGTGCAAGACTGAAGGGGAGGAGCCGGTACACCTGTGCAAGACTGAAGGGGAGGAGCCGGTACACCTGTGCAAGACTGAAGGGGAGGAGCCGGTACACCTGTGCAGGACTGAAGGGGAGGAGCCGGTACACCTGTGCAGGACTGAAGGGGAGGAGCCGGTACACCTGTGCAGGACTGATGGGGAGGATCCGGTACACCTGTGCAAGACTGAAGGGGAGGAGCCGGAACACCTGTGCATGACTGAAGGGGAGGAGTCGGTACACCTGTGCAAGACTGAAGGGGAGGAGCCGGTACACCTGTGCAAGACTGAAGGGGAGGAGCCGGTACACCTGTGCAAGACTGAAGGGGAGGAGCCGGTACACCTGTGCAGGACTGAAGGGGAGGAGCCGGTACACCTGTGCAGGACTGAAGGGGAGGAGCCGGTACACCTGTGCAGGACTGAAGGGGAGGAGCCGGTACACCTGTGCAGGACTGAAGGGGAGGAGCCGGTACACCTGTGCAGGACTGAAGGGGAGGAGCCGGTACACCTGTGCAGGACTGAAGGGGAGGAGCCGGTACACCTGTGCAGGACTGAAGGGGAGGAGCCGGTACACCTGTGCAGGACTGAAGGGGAGGAGCCGGTACACCTGTGCAGGACTGAAGGGGAGGAGCCGGAACACCTGTGCATGACTGAAGGGGAGGAGTCGGTACACCTGTGCAAGACTGAAGGGGAGGAGCCAGTAGACTTTGTGCAAGACTGAAGGGGAGGAGCCGGAACACCTGTGCACCTGTCTTTGACATGCGTCACCCTTCCATGTGTTCCTTGCTGCAAAGGCCACTTATAGGTTGGCTCAGTGGCCATTTTTTTGTAATGGTCGCACATAAACGGCGAACGTTCTGCCAGACCCTGAAAGCCCCGTGGAATGAGAATCATTTCTATAATGACGTCTGGCATCCGGCCACTGAGATAACCCAAGTCATTGTGTGCCGAGTGACACCGCGGATGGAATCCTGGATGAAGGATTTGGGGTTTTCTGATGAAATACAGGATGAGGTGTTGGGTGATGCTGTGAAACTTACAAATGTTTTAATTAAATTATTAAATCCAAAACCAAAAATGTAACATATTGCAGCTTATCAATCATTCGATGTGGTGGCTGCATTTGTTTTTTTTTTTTTTTTTTTTTTTTTTTTTTTTTATTTCTTCTCTGTTTTCACCTGGTGATCCGGCCAGTAACGCATCTCCTGTATTAGAGCGCCCCCACTCTGGAGGAAGGAGCACAGAAACACCTCTGGACAACAGCTTTGCTCATTTAGGGCAGGGGGTGTTAAACCGGCAGCCCTCCAGCTGTTGCAAAACTACAAGTCCCATCATGCCTCTGCCTTTGGGAGTCATGCTTGTAACTGTCAGCCTTGCAGTGCTTCATGGGAATTGTAATTTTGGCTACAGCTGGAGGGCCGCTGGTTTGACACTCCTGATCTAAGGGGAAGGGAGTGTTG